TCGAATCATTTCATATGATCTTGTGTGTCACTGCACACACCGTTCATCTTTGCCGTACTCATCCTGGATTCTAGGAAAAAGCAGCCCTTCTGCTAGGTGTTCCCAATGTTTTCTTCATGCTTTCTGTCCTTTTTAGGTACCAGTCTTCACAAAGTGATGTAAGCGTTAAAAGTTCGTTGATTTTTTGCGTTTTTGCGATTCCGGGATGGGGACGCCAAAGGTAGACAGCGTGTGCACTAACACACATGATCACATGAAATGATTCGACTATATATGTGTTGTTTTTTCTCCAGTTCTGTTTTGTGTCCCGAATAGGGACAACGCTATGACATTAAGTAAAGCTAATAGATCTTCACGCAAAATCCGCAAGAAAATTGTAGGCATAGACAAACATGAGATTTCCGCGCAAATGATGCCCTGACCGCCGAGGCACTATAATGACTGTATAAGCCCTAAAGCGTACAACCGATGCGCCTGGCATAATTCGTCAATGATTAATGGCACCAAAACATTATGAAAACGTCATAATACCCATCTGTCAACAAAGACAGCCAAAAATCACACTTCTCAGTATAATACACCCATGGAAGCACAGCATACCTGATGTGCGTCAGTGCTTGGAAGGAGGTAAGCTTTCAACGCAGGTCCTTTCGTCACAGCTTTTACATGTTCAGAACTGAATCGAGCACGCAATTGATCGGCTGTGCTGGACATTGCCCTCTTGAGAAGTAACCTAGAAAAAAATTTGTTTTGGACTATCAGTGATTATTCACAAATTTGAATGAAGATTCGACGCGAATGTAACTGAAAACAGTTTTCAGAATCTAGGTCAGATTAGAATGATAATTAATCAACAAGGAGAAGGTCGAAGGCTGCTTCAGCTGATTATATAGCTGTCATATACGTTACACAAGGAATAACACGAGAAAACAGAGCAAGTGAAATCCGATCTGATCGCTGAGCCGTTACATCACGAGGACAATAGGAGATAGCGGAAGAAAGAACAAATTCTTTTCGAAGATCGCCGCAATAAACAAAATCCTAGTTTTCGGATTTTTCCCATACTAATGAGTCAAAGATGAGCTTATTTGATGATTTTCGTTCAAACTGAGCTAGCAGTAACAGTGCAAGAGTAAGGCTATCGACAGTTGCGATAACCTAATCTAGAACACAGATAACAACTTTTGGCGTTCTTCGATTTTCCTGACAAAAAGTTCTATTAAGATACGTACCCTTGGTGTAAAAACAAAGCTGATTTGATACGTCTGCCCACACGCAGCTCTCAAATATACTCCATGACACAACGTTCCATGTCCAGACCTTTGGTGTAATTGCACCACTTCAATTCTGAGTGAAACGGGACAAGGAAACAGAAACATGATGCCGTGAATACTATAATCTGTAATTTTTGCCTCACCGCATACCCTAAGCACACAAAATTGGCAGTCTTTTACGGAAATAGTGTAACTTGCGACCCAGCGTTTCATTGACTGAGAATGAAAGAGGCAATGAGCTTTCAAAAATTCCAAAAAAGTTTCACATCAAAATCTCCATGAAAGCAATAATTTAGATCAAAAATAACAAAACTATTTGAAATGTTTACCTTAAGTGCGAGGGACATACTCTCATGCAAAATATCGTCATGTCTTCAGTTATGTAACGTTGCTCAGTCAATTCATACGTGGGGCAGAACAAAAGACATCTATAAAAGAGGAAAGTTGGTAAAAAAATGGAATGGCTTTACTCTTTGACAAGGATTGAATGTGATTCCAGTGTCTCCACATTGAAAGCAACAAGGTTATTCAATACTTTCTCCTTAGCGTAAACAAAACATAAACATTCTCGAAGTTCGAATAAGAAAAAATGAATTTAATCCAACAATATGCCACGGCTGGTTGGATTTATCGCGTTTTTCCCATGCACCTTGTGCAAGCTGCAAAATTCCTCTAGCTGTCTGCGCCTCTATTTTCTCGTCACTATTGGAAATGGCGGCTCCCATCGGGGCATTCAAGCTCTCCGTTGCCGTTTTCTCGTAATGTGTAAACCAAGCAATCATCGATCCATGAGTAAAATGTTATAAATAAACTATGTACTGCTTGCAATCTCGTAAAAGTAGCCTACTTGACTTTTGAATTTTGTAAAGCCCGTCTTTTTGGTTTTCAGTTCGTTGTTCAAAAATTATTTTGTGCCTCCAAACATCTTGACTTTTCAGCTTCCACATTACGGGATTGGCATGAACTGAAAGCTGTTGTGCAATTTATTAGCAAAAATGTCTTCCTCAGCTATCTTCATCCTCGATCTCAAAGGAAAGGTATATGACTTTCGGTTTCATCTCAACAAATGTGGCTTTCTCGCGTATTTTTATCTATTTGATTTGATTATATACTTTACAGTAGGTTTCACCTAGTTATACAGATCAACATCTTTTTATTTATTTTTTTGGATGAGTCCACTTTGAGACTCATAAATGCTTGTAATTTTGAATAAAGAAGCAGGATTTGTTTAGCTGTAGAAGACGATTGTACAAAAACAGTATTTTGATTAGAAAAGAAAGAACTTCTATAGAAACTGAGGTCAATACTTTGCTCGGGGCATCGTCCTAAGAAACCAAATCAGCTTCATAGTTCAATTTTTGCACAGAGCCATATATGAGCCTACGAATTCCCAATGCAACTCTATCTTCCAAGTATGGCCCTTTTTTCTAGACCATCATCTCTCGTAACTATCGTGGCGATGTGGATATGGGCGTCATCGATCGCTTTCTTCCTCTGTTAATGGACCGCGAAGAGGATGGATTAGCATGCCCAGTGATCTCAAGTCAAGATGCTACTTTTGTCTATATCAAGCACAACAATAT